GTCTTCTAACAATTCACCTTCCCCTTTATACATCTTCAGATTAGGAATCATTGGTATTGGTGCAGGCTTGCAACCTAACATACCAGTGTGAGATAATAACTCCAATGCATACTTGCGTTGACATAGAGAAATACCAGAATCATTACGAGCAATCTCCAATCCCAAAAAATACTTGAGAGGACCCAAATCTTGCAATTTGAAAATTTGTTTCAAAGCAGAAGTCAACTGAGTGGCTTCATTGGCATTGGTACTGGCAATAACAATGTCATCAACATAGACCAATACAGCAACAAAATCGTCTCCCACTGGTTTCACAAACAGAGTATGATGACCATGGCCTTTAAGAAAACCAAGACTGAGCAGAGATGTAGAAAACCTTTTATACCATTGCCTTGATGCCTGTTTAAGTCCATAGATTGATTTTAGGAGCTTACACACAGCATGCGGAGGTAGAGTGATACCTTTTATATCAGCATATCCTTCTGGCAATTTCATGTAAATTTCTTCTTCCAAATCACCATTCAGAAACGCATTTGAAACATCAAGTTGTGTAAGTATCCACTTCTTTGATGCAGATACTTTGAGTAACATCATGATGGTCACCATCTTAGCAACTGGAGAAAACGTTTCTGTATAATATAACCCTTCTTTCTGAGTAAAACCCTTAGCCACCACTCTAGCCTTATATCGCTCAAGAGTCCCATCTGCCAAAAATTTCAATGTAAAAACCCATTTACATCCAACAGCCTTCTTACCTGCAGGTAAAGTAGTCACTGTCCATGTATTTGACAGAATAGCAATGATAATCTTGAAGCTGAGCTGGCTTTTTCTTTGGCCTTTTATCAGAAGAAATTTGTGTAGGAGGAGAAATTTGTGAAGGAGGAGAAATTTGTGAAGGAGTATAAGGAGAAAAAGAATTACCTGAGGACACAACACTGGAATCTGCAGGTATGAAAAGTTGCAGAGCTGAATCATCTGTTGAATCAGTGGCCATAGGAAAAATTTCTTCATGGAAAATGACATTTTTGGATATAAAAATCTGATTGCTCTCCAAATCCAGAAGTTTATAGCCCTTGTATCCTGCAGGGTAACCCAAAAACAAGCAAGCCTTAGATCGAGGCATGAATTTTGTTCTCTGTTTTGGGGATGTGGAACTATAACAGATACATCCGAAGGTCTTTAAATGAGCATATTCTGGAGATTGACCAGTTAAAACTTCAAAAGGTGACTTATTCAAGAGAATCTGAGATGGAGTTCGATTGATCAAGAAGACAGCAGTCAAGACAGAATCACCCCAAAACTTGAGAGGAACTTTAGACTGAAACATGAGTGCCCGAGCAACATTCAAAATATGTTGATGCTTGCGTTCAACGACAGAATTTTGCTCTGGTGTCTAAGGACATGAATGAAAAGATATGATACCTTTCTCTTGATAAAATCTTGTAAAATTCAATTCTGGTGCATTATCTGATCTCACTGCCTTTACTCTAACATTATACTGATTTTCAACCATATTAACAAACCCTGGGAAGACTGTAAGAACTTCAGATTTCTGTCTTAACAAATAAACCCATGTTGCTCTGGAGTGATCATCAACAATTGTCAGAAAATATAGAAATCCATCAACAGTTTCAACTGAGAAAGGCCCCCAAATGTCAATATGTAATAACTCAAAAGTTGAATTACAAATGTTGTTTGAAGAAGTGTAAGACAACTTTTTATGTTTGGCAAGATGACAAACATGACAATAAGCAATTCCTTTATTATTATGTCTAGTAGTGCCTAGAGACTGAGAAATAACATCCAATCTACTGTAAGCAGGATGTCCTAATCTTCTATGCCACATACTGACATCTACCACTGCATTCACTGAGATCTCTGACTCTTCATACTCCAAGACATACAGATTGGCCACCCGTCTACCTTTTCCAATTGTCAATGCCTTGGTAAGATCCTGAATTTCACAAGAAGAAGGATCAAATATAACTCTGTAACCAAGAGAACTGATACTGATGAGATTCAGTCTGAATTCTGGAATAAACAAAACATTATTGAGAGAAATGTGTTTGTTAATTCTAACTGTTCCGATGCCACTGATCTTTACTGTAGAACCAGTTGGCAAGTTCACATAACTCACAATAGATGTATATAAATCTGAGAATAGAGTTCTATCATGACAGACATGATGAGTAGCCCCATAATCGATCACCCATGTCTTAGGTGAAACTGTGGTCTGAGAAACAGTCAAGATTCCAATAAAATAGTAAGTTGAGGTGAAAAATCAATACCAGTATGCTCAGGGTTAGAAGAAGAGCTAGCGTCATTAGAGCCCTGAACTCCCTGAACTTGTAGTTGAGAGCTGAACAAAGCTATGAACTGTTGAATCTGATCCTTGCTAAGATTTCCAATCATACTCTCCACATTGGAGGATTCAGGAATATACTGAGAAGGAGCTAAAGTGACTTGTGCTACTACAGGTTGTGGTTTAATAGATTTGTCATTGTTCTTTCCCTTTGAAACAAATCCTGGAGGAAAACCATGTTTCTTGTAGCAACGTTCTCCAATATGTCCAACACGATGACAAAAGGAACATATAGGTCTGCCTTTCTGAGGACCGTTCTGGACATAGCAAATAGTAGGATCAAGACCAGCAGAAGTTTCAGTTTCTGATACTTGAAAAGCAGCAGGTGCAACAGACATAGTAGAGAATCCTTTCTGACTATCATCCTGATCCAAAATATTATAAATCTCAGCCAAACTGGGGAGAACTCTCTTCATTATGATATGTCTCCTAATAATGGCATAAGATTCATTCAGGCCAACCAGAAACTTGACAATCTTAGCTCTCTCTGCCTTCAATTGCAGACGAGAAGCCTTGCCACAAACACAAGGTTCATCAAGTTCTTCTGTATTCTCCAAACTACTCCATAGTGTCTTCAGTTTAGTATAATAAGCCATCAATGACATAGAACCTTGACGGAGATCTTGAATCTCTTGAGTGAGGTTAAATGTTCTTGGCAAATTACTCATGTGAAAACGACTATGCAAATCACGCCATATATCAGAAGCATCTCTCAGACGAAGAATGCTACGATAAATCTCAGGCGAGACAGAGTTCAACAACCAGGATTTAACCATACTGTTGCAACAAGACCATAAAGGAAAGCTCGGATCCAATTCATCTGGACGAGCTAAGCTACCATCTATGAATCCTAATTTCCTTTTCGAGTCTAAAGCAATACGCATAGCAGCATCCCAATCATCATAGTTTGTTCTATCTAAGCGAATAGCAACGAGAATCAAACCTGGATGATCAGCACTGTGCATAGAAAACGGAGAAGGATTCAATACGGATGATCCCGGTGGAACGATGGCTCGCGAAGCTCCAGAAGCTTTAGATCTAGCAACCGAAGGAGAAATCGGAGGAGAATCGCTAACATCAGGAGAGCGTGACGTCTTCTTAGATGCGGAAGTTGTTCCTGACTTCGATCGATTGGTTCTTCGCATGACACGAGGTGCAACCATGGTGAGAAATGATGATCGGACCTCAAAAGACGAAGAATGTGATCGGAATCAATGGAGATTTGAGCTTTTGTGCTCTGATACCATAGCAGAGAAGAAGAAGACGTTGAGAAAAGTTTGTTATTCTCATTAAGTTGTAAAATGTATATGTACAATGTATTTATACAAGTATCTGAGTAAATATCTAAATACACAAATACAATCTGGTTAAGATAACCAGAGTAAACCACTAAACCAATTGTCATAACTAATACCTGGTTCTGCTTTGGAGTCTGCTGGAGATTCAGCAGCGTCGAGCTTAGGCGTACGCTAAGCTCAAAAGGTTCGATTGGTATTTCAAATCTCTCAGAGTGTTATGCTATCAGTAATTTTTTTCTGTTGTGGTATTTGTTGAAGTTCCATCTCTTTTGATCCCTTGTCTTGGGTTTAACAAATTTGTTGAATGTTCTTGCAAGATGTTAAAATTTAATCCAACAATGTTAGGAATAAGAAAAGAAGATGTTTTTTTCATATTTAACACTGATCCCTCATCAATGCCTCTGTATGCTATTCGTTTATCAGTGGATTCTCAGAGTATGTGGAGTCTGGTGCTGAACCACTTTATCAGAAGCTATGCAGGGAGATTACAGCGGAGTTCAGTGAATGTTCGAAACAAGTATGGATCTTGTCTGAGTGTTTGTTTTATTGAGTACCTTCAGAAGGGTTGTTGAACACATCCTATGTTAAAGATTGAGCCTTTTGATGACATCCTATATACCGAAATGGAATCTCTGTTTCTGAATCCAGAAGTTGGAAGAGCTGATCTTGCTCAACTGCTCAGCGACATCCAAAGTCAAGAGAAGCAGAAATTGCATCTGGTATCATCTCATTTATTCAAATCTGGATATCTAATATGGTTAAACAAAGTTTTAATTTGCTGAACAAAAACTTTCCTTTTTCCGCAGACCGTTACCATGCAGATACTGAAGAAAGCAGGGAGACCGTCAGAACGAATGCTAACACATGAGAACTGCAAGTTTAAGAAACCAATGCAGCACGAGTGTGTGCATCTTCATGAGATTACAGAAGCTGCAGGAACAGAGGAAGCAGAAGCAGAAGCAGATGCAGAGTATGATAACGCTTTAAAGGAAGCCATTAGAGGAGTGCAAGACGCTGTGACTAGCATCAATGAGTATCTAGAAGACATTCGGTACGAGATTGAAACCCTCGAAGCTGATTAATTCCTATCACTTGTTTAACTTTCTACAGAAAACTTGCAGTGTTTTAAAAGCTTGGTTTGTTTATTTTTTTTGGTAATTTGTTAAAGCTTGGTTTATTAGCTTCTAAAAATACAGTATTTAGAAAATGTGAAAAATGTGAATGGAATTTGCTTTATGTTTTCGTAACTATGCATTACGTGGGCTTTTGTCCATACTAATCTGATCGCACTCTGTTTCCGAGTTGATTATCTTTTCAGTTAGAATAGCAAATCCCAAAACTGCATCAAACCAAAATTTTCTCAATTTTCTTTTACACATTTTGTTACAAAATCAAACCGAAATATTTCCAGTTCTGGTTTACACACACCATAGCCCACTAAAAAATAAATGAGTTATTGGCATTTTGGGGTCAAAATGCATAAGATTTATACTTTTGTATGTGTTCTTACAAATAGTCTACAGCAAAAACTTGTCATACGGACAACATACTGGTCGCCTTGACCCATACACCGTACGTCCCAAAGTCCTTGGCTCTGACAAAATGACAAGAACGCAAATACAAAGGTTTATTAGTTACTCAAAGAACAACACAACAGAAAATAGATCATGGGTGTTAATTAACTTACATATGTTGACTGGTGGGATCGATCTCAGGAAACAGGTTGAAATAGAATCGAAGCCCATCTGGGCTCATGTCTCTACACAGCAAACCTGTTCAGAAAAATGGAACGTAAGCATCGTATAAGTCTGATAGATACATGTTTCTCTAGGAGCATATTTGATTGGAGTTAAATTTGGTACCTTTGGTCTCTGCAGTTAGTAGATGTTCCTTAGCCATGGCTGGAGCGATCTTGAGCGTCAAAGCTGCATCACTAGCAGTGACTCCGGCTCTTAAAGTTTCAGTTTTGGTCACAAGCATTCTGATTCTACTCATCACCTAAGTGGCCAGAAAAATATGTCGTCATGTGGATGGATGAAAACAAATGTGAAAAGCACACAGAGGGATATGACACATCTGTAGCACGAAAAATGAGAACTTTCTAAAGAGGAATCAAAGCAGTGATAGTGGGATAGAGAATTTTAAATATATGAGATTTAAGAATACCTCCTCATCGCTATGGGACTTGTTTTGGATGACCATCACACCGCTATCAAATTTCCGCAGCATTACTGGACTACCACAATCAAAAATACATGACAGATAAATATTTCTGCATGATGGCTTCTTATATGGTCAAAAGTACAAATTTGAACATGCAAAAGGAATCTAGGAAAAAATATCTGAAATATACATACACATCAAATTTCTCCCACAGGGTACAAGCTTGCCACAAATCATCTGGAGAGATCAACTCTGTGCAAAGAAAAGTTTTTGATTTACAAACTAAAGTGAAGTAATATAATAAAGCACTCGGAATCAAATGGTATAGTCTATAAAGCTCCAACCTGTCCCACGAGCACGATTGAAGTGGTAATACATATCAGTAAGACTGATCATTCCCCCAGCTTGTTCTAATGGGATTCTGACAAAATCTGCCAACTGCAGGTATGTAAATAAAGATTTCAACCTCAAATTCATTTAGTTTGAAGGACTTGAAGAACATGAATTCCACAGATTCCAACACATTTTCCAGGGGCTAATATCACAATCTTAACAGTTGAAAGGTTCTCTACTAGAAAAGTTATAGATTTTTCAGAAAAACTAAACAAAAGTATTCATATTCCTAAGAAATACCCTTCATATAGATGTCCTATCAAGCTGCCATTGAATGGAAAATCTCTCTTTCGAAGTTATCATGAAAAACTAATCTCTGTTACAAAATAAATTAAAGAGAACCTGGCGGGACAATTCTTGATGGTACAAGGCACCAGCAGATTCCTTTGTAACTGGAGAGATAATACCAACGCTCAACATCCACTGTTGCATTTCTTCTTTGGAACCCATTTCTTCATCATCAGTTGAACCATTCTGACTACTAGGAGCAGACAAGAGCTTTTGCCGCATTTTTTCTGCCAGGCTCACCATCTCTTTAGCCTTACTCTGTAAACCAAATAAATGTACTAGAATTCAGACGCAATTTTTTACTTGAACATGAAACAAACAATCAAATAAGAACCATTTCCTTCTACAGACTGAGGGTAATCCTAAAACAGTTGCAGATAGAGTCTTCAAGATCAAACCTCACAAAGAACAAGGTATAACATTTGAAAAATAAATGTTCCAGACTTAATCATCTATCCATAAATTTCGTAACTTGGTATCAAAATCTCTACAAGGATGATGATAAAAGACTGAGGAGGAGGAAGGGCAAATACCATAAGAGCATTCAAATCCTGAAAAGCATCTTGCAAACTCTTGTCTGTGCTCTCCCACTGTTCTTGCTCTTTCCTCAATATCCCAGCCAATCCCACCATCCTCACAGTTCCATCGTTTCCGTATAAACCTTGCGCAACCGTTCCAGATCCTGACCGAGAAGTCTCACTTTCGCTCTTCTCCTCCTCTTCCCATGCTCTGCCTCTCCAACATTCCCAGAATTTCGTCAAAAATCCATCAATATCTCCTTTCCCCCTAAAGACAATAGTCACCACAATCGCACCAGGATCCGCTTGAAATCGGATTCTCGGCGAATGGAACATAGACTTGATTGATTTCTTATGAGAATAGATATGAGTAACGGCGGCGAGAGAAATCGAAGAAGGAACAGCTCCATTTGATTGAGAAGGGATCCAAATGAGACGATGAGTGGTAAGGATAAGATTACCGGACTTCAAAGTGGTGAATCGCGGCGGATCATCTTCGGAATCGAATTCGACGGAGGAGAGTAGGAAACACTCAACCTCATTGCGTCGAAGCACTGGTCTACCACTGGTAGTCACCTCTGCGTTCTCAAACAAAACACCGACTCCGATGCTGCTTCCACTAGCCATGGTGACTTAATTCGGAAGCAGAATCGAACATACAGATTTTTAGCTGCGTTCCTCTCTAGTCCACCAATAGATCGGTTGACCTATCAAAACTTGATTCGATTTCAACTACTCCGATGATTCCCCCGGCGCCTATCGATTTAAAGCCTGAGGTCAGAGAGATTCAACGGAGGCAATGCATATATTAGCTACAACGGTGGATGGATACCAAATATAGAAATCAGCTGATATCTTTTTTGTTTATTTTTTTTACCATAATTTTTTTTTTTCTGTGTGGTAAAAACCATCATTGATATTTATTTAAGCAAATATATACAACAACACCTCTAGCGATAGTAGTGATAGGTTTTGTTAATTGTAGGTTTTGTTATTGATCCAGTCCGTAGGTTATATGAAGGTAACATCAGAAACACCTTTGGAATTTGATTTAAAACTATATATCTTAATTTATCCATGATGATGCATAATGCATGTGACAATATCCATTTTACAACCATATATATGACGTTTATTTTTCTTTATAAATCTTGTTAAGGTTTTATTAGAAGCCATAAACAAATGAGTAAACCATGCTTGTTGGTGTTTGGGTTGCATAGAAAGTACCTTAATGCTCTAACTTTGCGTTTATCTTCCTCTGCCGAATCAACTTTTGTCTTTTTCCCAAAATGTCCGAGCCTAGCAAACTGAGTATGAAACCACATTAGTCAAACTGAAACAAAACAACTAAGCTTAAGATGTACATAACAATGAACACTAATGTCTCAAATTTCAGATTCTCGGATTACACACTCAACCTTTTAAAAGCTATAAGTCCTTTCAATATGCAATGGAAGTCTATACAAATCCTTACAACACTACCAAGCAAAATTATAATTAAAAACACGATTACACAAGAACACCCAATTCACACCCAAAAAAAAACCCTTATTAATCACCCAGACATCAAATTGAGGAACCCAGTTGCATAAAAATTGAAACTTTGAATCATGGGTATTCAATATTCTTTGGTAAAAGCGGAATCCATTGTTCCATTAAGGGTTCTGTATATTCTTGTTAGACGATTGTAATATTGAGCCATTGTTCCATTTCCGTTGAGCCATTGTTCTCTATATCACTTATAGTAAAACCAGAATCTAATTGAGCAAAGCTTCTAATGTAAATGCCACACAAACTAGAGGAGAAAACCCACTTAAGCTTCTAATGTAAACGCCTACACAAACTAGATGAGAAAACCCACTTAAGCTTCTAATGTAAACGCCTACACTAAGCTACTACACTAGTCAAAATCTAAGCTAATCGAATCAGTAAAGTCATTAGTTACCTAAGCTAAGATTCAAAAGCCATCAACACAACTACACAAGCCAGAGGAGAAAAGAGGTTTTAAAGAACTAACCACTAACTAGAGGAGAGAAGCGGTTGCCTCAGATAGTGAATAAGCAATCAACAAACACGCAAACTGAAAGAAACGCCTTCCGAGAAATCAAACACTCTCTCGAGCACCAAGAGGGAACTGTTGGCAGATGAAGTTTCCTTCCTCGATTGCGTTGCCCTGTTACAAACAAAAACATCAAAATCAAGAGTCTTTTAACTGATAAAATACAAGCTAAGCACAACGAGATCAAATGTGTCCAAGCTAATGGTAATCAAAATCTATTACTTCTTCTTCTACCGAAAGAGCTTGAATCCAAAATCGAATTCTCATCATCCAAAATGCAACAACGAAAGAGCTTGAATCAAAAGTCGAATTTTAGAAGAAGACTAACCAAATCCGTAAAACCCACTTCGAGATAAACAATATAAAGCTCAATTCGTGGCCACCAATGGCTGACAAAGATGAGTTTGTGTTTTGTCTTCGGGATCGAACAAAATAGAAGATGAAGCAGCAATAGCGTATAATGGTGATAGACCAAATCCGGGTAAAGTAACAGAAATAATATGATATATAGAAGAAATAGAGATTGAAGGTGAAGAAATCAGAGAAAGGAAGGAAGAAGAAGAGAGACGACGAAGAAGTTTGTTATTGATTTTTTTCGATAACCATTACAGAGAAGAAGAAGAGTTTAAGTAGAAGACAATAAGAGGAAATTGGGCTTAACACTAAGCCTAAATCAAACACCCACTAAGGCCCACTCATCTTCAGTTTTGGTTTGTATCAATACTCCCCTCATGAAGAGCCAGCTTGTCCTCAAGGTGGAAGAAAGTTAAACTCGGAAGCAACCGTAATGATTTTATACGATCCATCACCCACTGTCAATGATGTTAGAGGTGTGTCTGGTTCAACCGTTTTGTTGCGATGATCTGGCTCTAGCTCAATGAAACCAATGAAGTTCTCGGTTGAATTGAAATCTGAATGCAAACCATCAAGAGTAGCCAAACCCCACTTATATCCAGTTACATCACATTGTGTTTTGTCTTGAAGCTCGTGACTTGTCTTGGACTGAAACCTTTGGACAATAACCTGGGGTTCCTTAATAATGCAACCGTCAAACAATGAAGAAGTGGTGACTGAGAAGTGACAGTCATGGTACAAGAAGCAGACTCTAGGGGACCAAGTGTGGCAAGGCTGGTACTACTCTCAAGTGCAAGCTGAGATCCTTGACACCTCCCCAACCACTCTTTACTGTTAAACTTATAGAAGTAATTCCAGCAATTTCAATGAAACTCACTAACTCATCATAACCTATCCCAGAAGTTTCAATATTTCCAAGAACATCAAAGCCTAAAACTATCTTTCCTCGAAGTGTTCTAATCTTCATTCTCAGCCCTAAAGCCAACAACATTTGAGCACCTTTCTTTTCAGTACCCTGCCAGAAACTTTTTTTTAACTCCGAGAACTCTATAGTCATAACATATGAAATTTTATTCTCTTTTCCTCTATCAAAGACCAACCATCTACACCTACTACTACTCACCCCTAAAAGAATCATCTTGTCCTCAAGATGAAGTGACAAGCTATGTTTGTTATGTAGCAGTGAGGCAAAAGCTTCCAAAATCACCCATTCACACTCACTATCTAGCTTTTGTGTCTTCTTCTGGGCTCCGTTTACGAACATGTAATGACTTTGCTGTATCTTCTGGCTTGTCACTAGAAACTCCTTATCAAGTGATTTGCATCCCCAAAACTCAGCAATGTTCAGTTTAATACGTATACAACGCTTCTCTAACTCGTCGAACAGCACGTGTCCAGCCAAGATTTCACCACGCTCCCATACTCAATTAGCTCTCCGAGGATCAGTTGGTTGTTTGTTACCAGTACAAACTCTAAAGGCCAGACGCTTAACAACATCAATACCATCAAACTCCAAGAAACCCACTAACCCGTTCAAATGAATCTGTTCAGCCAACCTCTCTCCAGGATCCCAAACTTGGCTGAAGAAAGAACATCCAAAAAGCCTGTTTTCATTCCCGAACACTATGTAAATCATAGAAGAACTAGTAATTTGGCTTTCATCTGTACAGTGAATCTTCCTTGCAAAAACAAGCTTCCCATTGTGAGCACCAAACCAGACCAGAACCTTCAACACATCATCACCAACATGAGGCAATTCCGAGAATTCGTCTCCCATATCCTTGGGAAGAAGAAATCTTATTTCTCCAACTCTATTTTTTATTTCTTTTTTTTTTTATTAATCCGAAAATTAAGTGTTTTACCTAGGCATGACCAAAATCTAACCTTAACCGTATTTTTAACCGTAACCGGACCGTTTATCAACCGTAACCGTATAAAACGGTTAAAAATTGTAACCGTTAACCGTAAAAGTAAATTAGTTACGGTTAAAAAATAATAATAACCGTAACCGTTAATTAACCGTAACCATAATTAACCGTAATTAATCGTCGGTTAACCGTACGGTTAAACGCTCGGTTAACCGCATATTAAAATTTTTAAAATAAATTATATTATAACTGTATACAATACCCAGATTTAACTAATTCACTATAAATAATTGAAATCACATATATTTTTTACTTGTAAAATAAATAATATTTCATAAAATTTTATCTCCAATATTAATATTATAATAATCATCAAATAACCTTAACCGTATTTAACCGTAACCGTAATTAACCGTAACCGTATATAACCGTAACCGTCTTAACCGTATATATAATGATTAAGGTTATGGTTAAAAAAATTATAACCGTTAACCGGTGGTTAATTAATCATAACCGCATTAATCGTAACCGTGGTCATGCCTAGTTTTACCCTCTTGCATAGAAAACATGAGTTTTTTTCCATCCAACCTAATCTAATCGGATATAGCCACTAATCCAGAAAAAATAAAAGAACAAAAAAAAAAAAAAAAAAAACTTAAACACAATCCCTATTTTGGTCATAATGAAGTTTCAGAGTTAAAAAAAAAAAAAACACAATCGCTTGGGATATCTTCTACTTGGGTTTTTTTGTTTTTTTCTCATCCCAAGCCCCAACTCACGTGAACAAACCGTAAAAATCAGAATCTCTTCTACTTGTTCATATTCTCTGAGAATTCATCCTTCAATTTTGATTTTGAATTGGGGTTTTTATCGATTTGGCTCAACTCCAAGGATTTGCATCTCATCAGTTGCAAATGGTGAAAACAAGGGGATGAAGGACACGAGGCGGACGAGCTCTAGGCGGACGAAGTCGGAAAGCAATGTGCGATACCGGCGACAGAAGAAGGAGTAGAAACGAGAGAGAGAATTGATTTCGGCAGCAAAAGCAAGGTTGAGTGAGAAAGGAGAAATAAGAGAGAACAAATTTTAAGGAGGAGGTGGCTCGATTTCAGCAAAAGATAACTAGAAATCCGAGACTCTACGATCTGATTGTAATGGAGAAGAAAAAGAAGGAGAAGTACAAAGAGAAGAAATAAATAATGACGAGGGAAATTCGAACTCGGGGACCAACTCTCCTAGTGCTATGGTCGGAGAAGGAGTAATAGCCAAAGGAGTAGAAGCCGAAGAGATTTAAAGGCGAATTGAGGGGCGACCATAACGATTCAAGTGTAAGGAACGTGACTGCTATGCTGTTTGTAGAGAAATTTGGAATTGAAATATATAGATTTTTGGCATTTAGTAAAATTGGAAGAACTAGGTACAACTAGTGGTGTAAAACTGGTAGACCTGGTACAACTTACTTGTGTAATGGTAGATCTGGTAGAACTAAGTACAACTAGTGTGTGTAAGACTGGTAGAACTGGTACAATAGTGTGTAAAACTAGTAGAATTAAGTACAACTAGTCTATGTAAAACTGGTAAAACTAGATAGAACTATTAGTCTTATGAGAAACTGTTGAGATAATCTTATTGTTTGTTGCAAGATTTCGAAGAGGAAACGAATGAAAATGTAGTAGAAGAATGATGAGAAAGAGAGCGATTTCGGAACCAAATAGGGAAGAAGAAATAAGAGAGAACGAATTTTATATGTAATACTAGTATAACTAAGTAAAACTAAGTTTTCTGGATATGGTTGTGTATAACTGGAAATACTAGATAAAACTGGAAATTTTAGATAAAACTAAATTGTTTATTTCTTGATTTGGTTTATATAACTGTAAATACCAGGAAAAACTTTAAAAGAATCATGAAATAATCTTACAACACAAACAAAGGAGAATAAGTAAAATACAAATTTAACATCACATATTCTAACTTTCCTTAGTTTTACTAGTTATATCAGTTATACTAGTTGTACCAGTATTACAAAAAATTTTGATTTTTAAAGAAAATATTAAAATTTTCTTTTAAAATCATTTTATGGATGTTTAACTTTTTTAATACTAGTTTTATCATAGTTATGCCAGTTTTACTTTGTTATGACTACATGAATATACATATCAATTGGATGAAAAATCAAACACTACTAGACTTTAAAATAAGTTTCACGATAATTGTGACATAATCAAGATAATAGCAGTACAAACCAAAATATCAAACATGAATCAAACAATTTTAGAATCTTTTGACTTTTGTTTTTGATAATTTGTACCAACATAACTTTGGTCCACTCTAACAGCCTCATCATTATCATTAAGCACTTGTTTAGGCTGTTTCGAGACAATCATGACATCCACATACAACAAACATCTCCGCTTCTCATGATCAACGGACATTAGATACACATTCACATCCTCGTCATTAATAAGTTCACACTTTTCCGCTACACCTACCACTAGCGGATAATAGCTCAAATCCAATTTAATGTGGCTCTCAACATACCCAAGCTTCTTATTTATCCTTGCTTTTAATATCAACAACGTTATATCCCTCACTTGTGTCTTGAACATTAGACTATAGATTCGACCTTCACACTTAAAATGTATGCTAACGTTTTCGCTCATCGTATCCTGCCAAAACAATTCCAAAAAAAATAATCAGTAATACTACTAGTTATATGTGTCCCCCTATTAACTTTCATATAGCATTACAACCACACATATTTTTAATCTCGATCTCAGTCCACCTAAAATGAAAGTTAAATTCCAGTTTCCATCCATTTTTAAAGTTCGAAACCTCAGGCTCCATATCAAGAGAAGAAGAGTTTAAGTAGAAGAAAATAAGAGGAAATTGGGCTTAATACTAAGCCTAAATCAAAGACCCACTAAGGCCCACTCTTCTTCAGTTTTGGTTTGTATTAAATGGCCGACGAATCAACAACGGTGATCAATGGCCGACGAACCAACAACGACGATGTCGAGGAGCGATGTCGAGGGGAAGAAGCAACAATGGCGATGTCGAGGAACGATTTCGAAATCGATGTCGAGGGGAAGAAGCAAGATAGATTAGGTTTAGTTTAGTTTCTTGAAGAAACGACGTCGTTTCTTTCATTAGGTGTTGAAAAAAAAAACCCGACGGGTACCCAAATTTTAAGTCATATTGTATTCAAGACACCTACAACCCAATTCTTCTTTGTCTCTTCTTTACACTTAGAGATGGATAAAATGATAGTCTGTGGTGAAATTTGTGTATAAGAAAGTCTTTCAAGTTCGTTATAAGGAGATTTCAAGATTGTGAACTCATTGCGTTGTTATTGTGATCAA